AGGAATCTTGGTGGAAAGAGATCTTAGGTACTTGGGACAGATTAGAACCCAAAATGAGTTTCTAAAAAGCTGAGTATAAATCAGTTTTTTAAATTAATCTATTTTAAATGTATAAATATTATAAAGGTCCAGTGTTTAAGCAATTGTATGATGAATTCATATATAAGACAAAGAATATAGAATACTTTGGGAGTGAACATTTATACCCTAATGTGTAACAAATATATCTAGATTGCCATATTTCCCATTTGCCTAAAACAAGAACCTTCTTTATAAAAGAAAAGAGGTCAGTTTTAACTAAAGATTTAAAAAGATAGGTAATGTTATTATTTTTTTTTCTTTAAAGATTTTATTTATTTATTTGACAGGGAGAGACAGCGAGAGAGGGAACACAAGCAGGGGGAGTGGGAGAGGAAGAAGCAGGCGTCCCGTGGAGCAGGGAGCCCAATGCGGGGCTCAATCCCAGGACCCTGGGATCATGACCTGAGCTGAAGGCAGACGCTTAACGACTGAGCCACCCAGGCACCCCAAGATTGATAATGTTATTTACAAGCTTCCTTAGGGCGGGTATTTTTGTCTATACTATTTACTGGGGGTAAATGGTGCCTACACATAGATTTTCAATAAATATCTGTTGAATAAGTGCCCCAGGTGATTTACATTGTTACTGGAAGAGGTGGGATTACAAGGTCTTTATTTCTTGGTCTAATACTTCATTGTTGTGATGTAATATAATACATCTGTTTATTTCTATGAGGCAGGACGTGAGAAATAAGAAAAAGACAAAGAATCATGGGATTTAAAAGGGTGCACTAAAAATCTAAAAAGCTCTGAAGTGTATTTATAAAGTGGACTACCTAAAATGAGTGGCAATCTGAGCTCTGGAGAGAGTTCAAATGGTAAGTTTTGTGAGGGAGGGGTAAAGATTTAGAGAGAACAGGAGGTATCTTCCTGCCAGTGAGAAGGGAACATACGAATTCAGTTTAGCCACCTGGGGCCCATTTAGTGCACTAGAGCAGTAATTTGCTAAATGGGTCCCTCGTAGTAAAAAAGAATGAGTAAATAGTGAGCAATTTAGGCGTGGTAAACCACTAGTAGCTCAAGGGATGTAAGAATGTGAAACTATAATTAGATCCCATGTTCATAATGTGCTAACTAAATGTATTACATTGTATATTGCATCTTTCTGAGTTTATTTCTGGACACAGCTGAGCCCTTAGCAATTCAGACTGAAACCATCCCAGCTATCAATTCATGCTTCCATTAAAATTCCAACTGCTTATATTAGAAAAAAATTCCAACGATGGTTTCTTTTATCTTGGATCTAAGGATGCAAACAGGATTAACCTAGATGCAAAACACAGCAAGTCAGTTATAAATCACACAGCATAAAATAAACTGTGGCAGTAAATTGAAAATTATGTTCTCTTTTTCTATACTTAGCTGTGAAAATATTTTAACAAGTTGGCATCAGGGTTTGCAGCTTTTACATCTGTTGTTTCTTTTCAGGATTATCTTTTAGCATTTTAAGATGTGATTCTTTGAAGAGTGTGGTTAGTCAGAAATGTGGTATTAGACTGTACATTTGGAACACTTTAAAGGGTAGGGGGCATTCATGAGTTACATGGTTTCAGGATACTGGCCTATTCCCCACTCTACTTTTAGTAGAAGCTGCTATTTCATGGGTATCTGGAAAACATTTGTCCTTTACTGGAATCCTTTTCTTATTCAGAGAAATGGTATAGTGTGGGTTGGCTCAGATGGTCTGAATGATGTTCCATGATACTAGCAAGTTCTAAGCACAAGTTTCATTGCCCTTATCAATGTCTGTTATTTCAGCTGTGAGGTTCCAGCTGATCTAGTGGTAGGGGGACTGTATTCTCTATGAACTCTCCTTTTCTTTCTCTTTCTACTCTCACCTCCAAGTTTAGTGACTTTATTGAAGGTTTGGAGGTGGAACAAGGGATGGGTCACACTGTGCACCCTTGTTCTTCTGCTCTACCCTCAACTCTGATTTTTATTATTCTGGGTGCAGTGGAATATGGCACCTCTCAGACTATGGATGCTGTGCATAAAATAGTTCATCTATGTAGAAATTATATTCTACATTCTTCTTCTTCCTCACCCTGTCCCCAACACAGGATTTTTTGTTTTGTTTTGTTTTTTAGGCTGGAATGTATTTCCTTTTTTCTTTATGCTGAGATACTTTAACATTGACACTACTCATTATGCCCCTCCTCCTCCCAATTCACTAATTCCTCATACTAAGTGGGGCAGGTGTGTATGATGACTCCCAGCCCCTCCTACCTCCAGTACTTTGGATACCAAATTCTCTGAGCTGTGTTTTTTCTTTAATTTTTTTCCCCTTGGAGGAGGTGTTTTGGTTATAACTACCTTCAAAGAGTAAACAAAATTCCTAGAGGATAAAAATGCAGAGTTGGGGTGATTGTATAAAGCTGAATGACAGGAACCAGAGCTAGATTAAGTACAGTACTACAATTTCTTAGAGAGGATGCAAATGGATATTAGGCCAATGGTAACAGTATTTATGATTAGAACAACCTTTCCCTGAGTTTGGTACATTAGCTAAAGAAATATCCCTTTAGAAGGCAGCCAAATGGGGGCTATAAGCTATAAGCCATATTTCTTAAATAGCAAAAATTAAACAGGTTTGTAGGAAATCAGCTAAGGAACTAATGAATATAAAGAGGTGTAAACAGTCCATGTTTTAGGATTGAAATTTAACATGCTCTTTGTTTTTTAATCTAATTTAAGAAAGGCTAAATTAAAATACCATTCTTTTCATTTCTAGAACGAATAGTTTGTGTTAGGAGTTGTTCAAGGCAACATACAGATTAGTGTCGTTGAAATTTATCTTCAATATCATTACCTCTTTTCTGCCTTTTTCAGAGACAGATCCTTCAGCAACTACCCAGTTTCATTTGTTACAGAAAATTTCATCCAAAACGAGTCTATTTTTTTGACTTCCTAGAGAAGGTCAGTTCCCCTTGTTTTATTTTTGTTTCTTTTCATGGCACCTTGTAGTTTCCCCTTTCTACATCCCTCTCACTTGTTGAATGTCTTTCTTCATAACCTATAAGCTCTATGAAGGCAAGGACAGTGTCTGATTTATTCAATTGCTTACCACAGTGACTGGTGTATAATATGTTTATGATTATTTGTTAAATTCATTGACATGACTGTCTTAACTCTTGGGAGAATTTGCATTCTCCCTAATTAAAAAAAAATGGAACTCTGTGCTGTTGATTGAATTGAAATGCAATAAAAATTAGTTTCATGAGGCCAAGGGGTAAGATTTCAAAATAAAGATATAGAAAATCATTTTCAGGAATTTCAAGAATTAAGAGAAATATTTATTTTTATCCTGATAGCATCCTCCATTCCTCTTCAGTGGAATTGTGTAGATAACCTAAGCGTGAGTTTCCTTGCCCTTATCAATTTATTTCAGTGACAAGTTCTAGCTGATTTCTTTTTTCTTTTATTAAGGTTTTTATTTTTAAGGAATCTCTACACTCAAGTGGGACTTGAACTCATGACCCCGGGATCAAGAGTCCCATGCTCCACTGGTTGAGCCAGCCAGGCACTCCTCATCTCTCTTTCTCTCTCCTTGGCACCCCACCCCCACCCCCTTTCCAGGTTTAGTAACTTTATTGAAGTTAAGGCAGGCCCTGGATAGTAGCAGTTGACAGAATCTCTCATGTGAAAATCCAGATTTATAAAACAATCTGAGGAATGGTAATTCAATTAAAAAGGTTTACCAAATTCTTTTAAATAGCAAGCTATTCTAGTGTAGCCTACAGTATTGTTTTAACTGATAAGAAAGTGCAACTTTTCAGACCACAACTAAACATTGTAGCAACAAAAACCATTTTTTTCTCCTTAACGTTTAAAGAAGAAACAAGGTAACACATTAAGAGAGAATACACAGGACGAGCCAATCTCATATCCCACCACGTCTCCAGTCCATTCTTTCTTCTACTTTCCACCGCTTCCGTTGTTATTAGTTACTTCAAACTTTAAGGTCAATGGGAAAAAAGACGCCAACACTTTGCCTTTTTCCTTCTCACATATAGTTGCGGGAGGATCGGCTCGGGGTTGTACGATTTAACAAAAAGCGCTTTCAACAACTGTCCAGGTTCGAACTTCCAGATGCTGTCTTCCCTGGCCTGGAAAAAGCGGGGAAAATTGAGGTTGGCCACTTTCACGGCCGGTTATCCCGTGGTGCTCTGGGTGCGTTTTTGCATCTCATACAGTGGGTGGAAGTGAGAACCAAGGAACGGGGACCTTCATACCGTGTAGAGTTCCTCAAAGCCCTCAGTTTAAATCAGGGAAAACGAAAGTCTTGTGGGGAACGGGAATGGGCGGGTTGGGCACAAGTTAAAGAACAAGAACATTCCCAGGTACAGAGTTTAACAGCAGAGGGCACAATACCCACTGCCCATAGCCAGCGGCTGGCTGCAAGGAGGGGCATATGGTAAGGAACTCTGGGGCTTGTGGTTCGCCATGTTTTCCTCGGGCATGTTTGTCCCGCAATAGAACTGCAACTCCCAGCGTGCACCGCGCGCCTCCCTCTTCTCCGCCGGCGCCTCTCTCTTCTCAGCCGGCCCCTCTCCCAAGGCCGGCGCAGGAACCTCCCGGGAAACTGCCCCCCTCCCCCGCCCCGCCCCGCCCTCGTACGCACGCGTCACGTTTGTTTACCCTGAAGCCCCGCCTCCCCTCCATCCTCCAGCTCTCTCCACTCTTCCCGGGAATGCCGTCATGCTAACGATGCATATTCATGAGGCCCTCGTGGCTCTCCCGCCCTGCCCGCCTCCCGCCTTCCCGCTCCAGGCGCGTGATTAATATTCAATGAGCCCGGCTCCGCGGCTGGTTCGCCGCGGCGAGGTGGGGCGGGGGGGAGCGGGCGGGGCCTGCGCTCCCGAGTCCGCGACCCGGGCGGGGAGGGCGTGTGTAGGGGGGGCGGTGGCGGCGAGGCGGGCGGCCGGGCGCGCGGGATGGAACACCGAGACACCGACGGAATGCTCCGAGTTGCCACATAATCCCCTGGAACGGCCGCGCCGAACGCCATTGGCTTCTCCCTTCTCCCCGCGCTGCCGCCGCCGCCGTCTCCCACCTTCGCCTCACCGCCTCCCTCTCCTCCCGCTGCCTCCGGAGCTGGGGGGGAAGCGCGAAGCCCCACTGCAATGGAGCCCGCCGCCGCGGCTACGGCGCAGCGACTCCCAGAGACCAGCAGGGAGGACCGAGCTCCGGCTCCGGCGGCGGCGGCGGCGGCGGCGGCGGTGGCGGCAGCGGCCGGGGGCGGCCGGAGCCTGGAGCCCGCGCTGACCCCGGCGGCCCCGACCGGCGGGGCGCGGGAAGAGGCCCCCGGCGAGGCGCAGCCGGGGCCGCTGCCGGGCCGGGCGGGAGGCGCGGGGCGCCGGCGGCGGCGCGGGGCGCCCCAGCCCACCGCCGGCGGGGCTGCCCCGGTGCCCGGGGCCGGCAGCGGCGCCAACTCCCTCCTGCTGAGGAGAGGGCGGCTGAAAAGGAATCTGTCCGCGGCCGCCGCCGCCTCATCGTGCTCGTCCTCTTCCTCCTCGTCGTCGTCCTCGGCTGCCGCCGCCTCGCACTGCCCCGGCGCCGCCGGCCTCTCTGCCTCCTGTTCGGCCTCCGCGTCGCTGTGCACCCGGAGCCTGGACAGGAAGACGCTGCTCCTGAAGCACCGGCAGATGCTGCAGCTGCAGCCGTCGGACCGGGACTGGGTGAGGCACCAGCTCCAGCGGGGCTGCGTGCACGTCTTCGACCGCCACCTGGCCTCGACCTACCTGCGCCCGGTGCTCTGCACGCTGGACACCACGGCCGGCGAGGTGGCCGCACGCCTGCTGCAAGTGGGCCACAAAGGCAGCGGTGTGGTGAGGGTGCTAGGCAAGGGCCCGGGCCCCGCGACCGGCACGCAGCGGCCCCCCGACGTCGGCCCCCGGCTCGCGCCTGCGGAACCCCGGGACTTGGGGCCGCCGCCCGGGAGGAGCGGGCTGGCTGCCGTCGGGGGCCCGCGGCGCGCGCCTCCCGCGGACCTGCAGCTGCCGGGCGGCCCGGGCGGGTGGGCGCGCCGCGCCTCCCGCGCCAGCCCCGCGCCGTCAGACTCCAGCCCGGGTGAGCCGGGCGCCCCGCAGCCCCCGGACGGCGCAGCCGCCGGCCCGGCCTCCGACACCGAGAGCTTCAGCCTGAGCCCCAGCGCCGAGAGCGTGTCCGACCGGCTGGACCCCTACAGCTGCGGCAGCGGCTCCTCTTCGTCGTCCGAGGAGCTCGAGGCTGACCCGGCCCCGGCTCCGGGCCAGCCCCGCCTGCCCGGCCGCTCCGCGCCATCCCGGCCCGGGGCGGGCGCCCGGCCGCCTTCCCCGACGGCCTCCCCGCCTCTGCTGCAGCCGAAAGACCCGAGGGGCGTTGACGGCCCGGGAGGGGCCGCCCGCGACCGGCCTCGGGAGGAAAAGGCGGCTGCAGCTACGGCCGTTGGCCGCCCCCAGTCGACCCCGGGTGGGAACGGGGCGGCCCCGGAGAAAGCGCCTCCGCCGCCCACCCTGTACGTGCAGCTCCACGGAGAGACCACCCGGCGCCTGGAGGCAGACGAGAAGCCATTGCAGATCCAAAATGACTACCTCTTCCAACTGGGATTTGGGGAGTTGTGGAGGGTGCAGGAGGAAGGCATGGACTCGGAGATTGGCTGCCTCATCCGCTTCTATGCAGGTAAGGAATTCACCTGTATCGTGACGTGTGGGGTGTAAACACTTCAGGTCCCGAGGAATGAGTACAGTCGGCCGTCTGTCCAGACCAAGAGTACCTGTACGTCCTCGGGAGTCTTTGTTACTTCTTTACAGCTTTCACCTCCCCTCTGTGTAATACTAAGTGGAGCAATTTAAAAATCCGCGAGTTGCTGTCAGTCTTGAGGGCCCAGAGGTGGGGAAGCGCTGTTGGAAGAGGTGGCAGAGCCACCAGGAAACACAGGTAGCAGCTACTTCTGAAAGAGGCAGTAGTACTTTTAACAACGAGGGGACTTTCTTCAGGCCTCGCCTCGAGGGCATGCTGGGTTTGAGGCAGTTTGGGATTTCAGGTAAACCATCTCGTGCACATCATACAGACAGAGGGAAATGACCAACAGACATGCTCCAGGTCACTCCTTGTGCATTCGTCCACAGTTGGCCATTCCTGCGTGACCCCCAGGAGCTCCTTTCTTGTCACTTGGGGCGCTCGTTCAGCTCTCTGTCATGCTCATTTGCCCACTGAGTCCTCGCTAACAGATGGGACCCTTCTTAGTGGTACTTTTCTCCAGAGCTTTTTTTTTTGCTTTATTTCAATTTCATCTGCAAGTTTGATTCTTGCACCCAAAGTGATGTCGCCTATTTCTCATTTCTTACTTCCAGCCTCTATAACCCGGTCTGACCATTGCAGTGTGACTTGAAATAGGGATCACAATAAGACTTGAAGTGGTTACCATTTCTTGAGATGGGACTAAAATCCTCCTCTTTTTTTCGGTTCTCGATGAAAACTTCTTTAATTTTTCTATTTTTTCCCAGCTTTTTGAGATAGGATTGATGTATTAGATCTAATTCTTGACCAGGAGTGACTAATGTTTCTCTCTTGATTAAAGACTTGGTGGGTGCTAAATTAGGGAGCTATAGATCCTGGTTGTTATATTGGAGCCTTATATTTGTGTGCATCTTTTTCTGGTTTAAATAATTATGTTCTTAATGATAAGAAATTGTATTTAAAACAAAGTTAGCATAACAAAGTTAAATGAGGAGAGTTAAATCTGGTGCTGGTGGAAAAATTATCATACTTGTAACTTTATTAATCTGTTGCCATTCTAACTTAATGTTTTTGGTTCAACTTGTGTCTTAGTGGCAACTTAGTTTGAATGAAGAGATCTTTACTCCCACATTGAAATATGCAAGACCAGTAACGTTCCTGGTGAGATGTTCTTTTTAAGTTTCATTGAAGTTTTTCTATAATTCAGGTGGATTTCTGATGGATTTTTGCCTTATAAAGAAAACCATGTGATAATACAATAGCATTTGCAGTATCTGAAGATAATACCTCAACTGGATGGCATGGCTTTACAAGTTTATGACCTAGAAAATAGGTGGGTTTGTTTTTTTTTTAATTGTAGGAGGAGCAATATATCCTTTCCTCCTGGAACTCATGTATTTTGTAAAATACTGTTATTTTACAAAAGCATTAAATGGTAATCACGCTTGGAATGAGAATATTAACGTGAGAATGATAAATGCTCTTATAACCAAACCAATTAAACTGAAATATATAGAAAGCAAAGGCTATGTAAACAGTATTGAACAAATTTTATATAGAAAGAGCTCTGTATCTCTTGTTTTCCTGATGTTGATTACAATAAATGTTAGTGGGAAAGGTTTCAGGTGTCCTAGTCATGAAATTTAAATCTTTGGTTCCCTTGATTGCCTCTTCAAGTGAGTCTAAAATATTCTGAGGGACGTACAGTGTTTTTGTTTTGTTTTTTAAAGCTTATCAATATAAAAGTGACAAATTTTCTTTCTGGTTGAATCTTAAATTTCTGGTGTGGTCATTTTACTTTTTGTTTTGCTTTTTATGAAAAGCCATAATTATTATTTCTTTCTGAACTTACTTGCTTCATCTCTATGCACAGCATAAATACACACATGCCTCTGTGTACACACTTGTAAAAGTAGTAAAATGGATGTCGCACACAGTATCCAACCTATTCTTGAATGTGAAGCCATTGTTCAGGTGTCCTAGAAGGAAGATGCTTGATTGTTATAGAAATGGCTAGTTTATTTTGTTTTTTTTACACAGAGTTGAGCCTATTTTAAACCCAAGGTAATATACAAAATGTCTGTTGATACTCATTTGCCATAGAACAAAATTCAGCTTATAGTGAATCCATTTGAACTTTTGCAAGAAAGTTTAGTTATTAAGGAACAAAAGGGCCTTGTCCTTAAGGTGGTCTTACTTGCTACGGGAACACTGTGAGGACTTCACGCAGTGAGGGTTTGTACCTGGCTGGAGGAGATTCCTAGAAATTCCCTCTGCAGAGGAATGTAGGATACCCAATGGGAGTGTTACATTTTGGTAGTAATTCTTTTCCTTAGGAAAAAGAGAATTAAGGTTTGTTTTAGAGGACACTCTTTAAGAGGGTATTGTGTGCCACATTTGTTTTTATAATTTTACGTATAACTTAGTCTTATTGCTGCACATCTTTTTGTTTATATGTGTAGTTGGAGTTAAGGATAGATGAGGAAGTTGCCTTTGAAGTCATTTGAATACATTACTGTATTTAAATTGAGCTCATTACCTGCTTTCTAGTTATCTAGTCAGCTGCTTTTTTTTTTTTTTTTTTTGAGACTTCTTTGTCCAGCAGAGAACTTTCATTCTTTTGAAGGTCACCTTTCAGTGGAATTTCAGTATTTATAACTTGACTCAAGTTATTATTAAAAGTCTTTGAGAGGCATTTGCAGCCTTTGCATATTTAAATACTTATTTGGGTAAAGTAAAATGAAAGTCTTTAATGAACTATAAGGTGTTGGATGAAAGGTGCTATTTAATTACAGAGTTGTTAATGAAAACTTAGTTTGAAAATTGTTATTGTATCTTTCAAGCATTCTTTTAGCTGATTTAAAAAAGACAAAATTTAAGTGGCTTTATATGAAATTACTGGTTTTAAGTATTTTAAGTACATTAACATTTAATTTCCTTTTAAAATGAACCATCTTTAATTGGAAGAGAGTAATTTTAGGTTAAAAAGTTTAAAAATTTATGTTGCTTGACATAAATAATGGACTTCAAAAGGTTAATGAGCTTTGTGTTTTGGATTCCCTGGGCAGTCTGAGTCACTGACCAAGGGCAGTATTAAACTATATGTTTTTTGATGCTTGCACCACCTTTTAGATTTAGTAGTCTAGCTAATTCAGTTCAAATCGTAATAGTGGGAAAGGATGTTGAGAGAATGGAGAGCACACCCACTGTGCCTAGTGAATCTTGGACAAGATATTTTTATGTGACTTATTGGGACTGCTCAGGAGAACAGTCTCCTAACCCCTCTCATATTTCTTCTCTTTTTCTCTTTTGGGAATGATCAAACCTTACATGGTTTCCTACATGGAAACTGAGAAGGGGTGGTTCAGCATTAAGCTGTAATATTGACCAGCAGGCTCTTATTACTATAATTACAGCAGTATTGAGTCACGTGGTATGAACATGTGACACCAGTGTGTGCTTGAACAGTCTCTTCGATTTTAAGAACAAAGGATTTAACTTTATTTTTGTTGTTTTATATTTACATTTTATATTTGTTGTTTTTGATGTAAAGTGCATGCTATCTTTTCCTTCATAACTGTGGTTTGAGAACGTTTATTAACATGTTGGATTTTATTATCTTCAAAAAATTTTAAAGGGCTTTCACATAAATTATCTCATTTGTCCTTTCAAAAACATTATTAGGGAGGAGTCGGTGTCAATCCTCTTTTCAGATGGAGAAACATGCACAGAGAGGTTTGCCTCTTGCTTGTGGTTTTTCAGTCCTTGGCAGAGCTGAGAATAGAGAGCTGGGATGTTCTGTTTTGCAATTCATATCACTTTCCATGAATCGATGCTGAATTTCATTTACACTTGATTTTTTCACTTGGTTAGAAGCATTCGGAAAATACGCTATTTTTCTTGGTAATGAGGTGATATCCTCCAGTCCAAAGTGGTATTCCTTGTGAAATGTTGATGGCCCTATTTTTTATCATGCTGCCTTTAAAAACTTAAAGTACCAAGCCTGGCAAATAAATAGGCAATACAGAAAGAGTACTGAATGTTGTAAATATTCTGGTTGCAATAGTCATACTTGCATTTAAGTTGTTAGGGAATGACGTTTACTTAATGACTTTTTTTTTTTTGACCATGCCTCATTTGTTAAACTGTAAATCTTCATTGGGTATAGAGAATTAACACTTCATCTGAAAAGTGGATAACTTTTCAGGGTGGAGGTGTGGCAATTCAGTTCCTTTAAAACATAGCCTTACTTGTAAAGTGTTGAAAATATACGTCAGAAAAGTCTTGCTTAACTCTTTTATTTTAAAATAGAATTGTTGGTACTTTAGTGATAGTGCTTTATTGGTGTTACTATGCTATTGTTACAATTATTTTTATAATTCATACATTATAGAGAGCTAGAATTTCCCTGAATTTCATAGTTGTTTCTAAACTGTGTGTCTTTTGTGCTCAGTGAAATAATTGCAGGGAGAGGAAATGTGTAAGTTAGGTTTTAAAGTTTCTGGGTTCAGAGTTCTTTTTGTTGCTATAAGATTGTTAAATCCACCACCTTAAATGATTGGTTATCCAGAGGTCATTATTTTTTAAAGTGTAAAGTGTTTTTGTTGTTTCTTATTCTTTCTTTTTAAAGCCCTGAATTTGATTTATTGGTAACATAACATTCATTGACATTCTTTATGATCCAAGCCTAGTGTAATACTTGGCATTTTAGTTTAAACATTTGTTGAATTTGTGGAATTTTGTTCAGCAGCTGGTGGAGTATGCCCTGATTCTTCAGCCTTCCATCCTGTTTGGGTCCCCAGGGATGTGTTAAACACACATACACTCAGAGGCGTTTCTCCCAGGGCAGGAGATTTTAGATGTGCCACATACTACTAGTATCTTCTGTTGCACATGAGTGAAGCTCTATGTGGATTTTGAGAGAGCAGTTCTCTCTCAAA